AGGAAGGGGGGCGGGGGGAAGGAAGTAATAAAATTTATTTAAATGAAAAAAAAAAAAAAGAAAAAAATTTTTTTTTTATTTTCCCGTTTGCCTTTTGTTTGTTTCTTTTCAAATAATAATAATAATAATAATAATAATATATAAACGTATATAATAAAAATAATACGTGAAAATTTATTTTAAATAAATGAAAAATGTTTTGTTACGTCGTAGAACAATAATATTTTGGAAAAAATTTTTTTAATTTTTTTTTTGAATTAATAAATTTTCCCGCGTAAAATTTAATCGTTATCGATGACGTAATAAGAAAAAGAAAATTTTTTTTTTTTTAAAATAAATGTGAGAAAAAAAAATTTACCTTTTTATTAAATGAAATCTGATCACGTTTCTAGAAAATCCTCAAGAGAGTCGTATTTTTTTTTTTTTTTACCAAAATGCATGCGGCAGAACTTTAATTCTGCTGCCACGTTAAAAAAAAAAAGAAATTCTAATTTATTTGTCACTCACATTATAACATAAATTATTTGATTAAAATAAAATAAAATACATTTTTCTTTAGATATGTTTTTTAAAAACCATAAAACGTTAATTTTTTAATTATTATTATTATTGTTATCATTTAAAAAAGGAAAAAAAATGGAAAAAAAGGAAAAAAACGTAGCAGTTGATTGTCGATGATATTTAGGGCGGGCATTTAATTAAAATTCGTGGTTTTGTCAAATTTTAATTACAAAAAAATAAAATGAATAATTCATTAATTAAAACTATGATAAATGGTATCAAAAAGAAAGAAAAAGGAAAAGAGAGAGAGAGAGAGAGAGAGAGAGAGAGATAGTGAAGGAAAATGTAGGAAAAAAAAGAAAATTTTTTTGAGAAAAGAGTTCATTTTAATTCATCCTTAAAATATTATTATCATTATTAATAAAAAATTAAATTAAATTAAATTCGAAGACTTAAATAAGAACAATTAAAAAAAGAAAAATTTCATAGAGTAAATAAACGAAAAAAATTACGTAGAGTAAATAAACAAAAAAAAAATTTTTCATTTTTGTATGGGGATTTTCATTTTCGTTTTAAAATCCCAAATCCGTATCCACCATAGAAAATACTTAAAGAAAAAAAGAAAAGAAAAGAAAAAATTTAATTTTCCGATAAAAAGAAAGAAAAGTCAATATGGCGTCATGCGGGAACGGTTATGCAATGGTGAAAATTTTTTAGCCGTAAGTAAAAAAAAGAAAACTACTACGTAATAATAATAATAATAATGTCGCCGGAAATGTTTCCCAATAGAAGATAAGTACTCGGTTGGATATCGGAAACCCCAATGACAAAAAAACAACGGGAGGGAGGGAGGAAGGGGGGTGGGGGACTAGTAGTAAAAGAAAAAAAAAAGTAAAAGCTCCACAAAGCTCAATTTCTTACTCGTTTTTTCTCTTCGTTTTATTTACTCTATGGATATTTTTAATGTTATATGTTGGTAACGAAATTTTCTTTCCAAACGGTAAAAAAAAAAAAAAATTTTCCTTTTTAAGACACGTCTTTCGAGAGAGAGAGAGAAGGAGAGAGAGAGAAAGAGAGAGAGAGATTTTTATTTAATAAACATTAAATAAACGTTATCAATGTTTTCTTATCACAATTTATTTATTTATTTAAATAATAATAATAATAATAATAAAAACCCGTAAAATTATTTTTCCCCTAAAAAAAATAAAGAAAAAACCCTGACCCGACTTAAATTATTAAATTACGTAGGCGCGCGTTTTTTTTTTGTTTTTTTTTTTGTAAAAATTCGTGGGTTGTTTGTTTATTCAAAATTTTTTATTATACACGATTGCCAACTTTAGAAAAATTTCGGTAATATTATTACTATTATTTACCTAAAAGAAAATTATTTAGTTATATGGGACACTTATGATACGATACAAACAACAACAACAACAACCAACAAACTTATTAAATTTCAAAGAAGGATTTTTTTAAAAGTTTTTTAATTTGTAATTAAAAACTTTTGTTTAGAAAATTAATTTTCTTTTTTATTAATTTTTTTTTTTTTTGTTTACCTTGAGGAAAAATAAAAAAAGTTAATAATAATAATAATAATGATGATAATCCAAATTGGATTTACTGATTGGATAATTAATTAAATCGATCGAATAAACCAAATGAAAATTATTATTATTATCGTCTAATTAATAATTTTGTCACAGGTGTTTGAATGTTACAAAAACACACAAACCTATAATTTATTATCTTTTTTTGTCCGACAGGAAAAAAACAAAATGGTTGTCGTTTGTTTGCTTGTTTGTTTGTTTAAAATTTTACCTGGCTGGAAAATGGAGAAAATTTTTTTTTTTTTTTGTTTTATTTTTCCCATAAGGATGAAGAAAAATAAGGTTAAGACGAAGGGAAAGGTCGAAGGTGATAAAGAAAATAAATTTATCGGGTGTGCATGAACGATAAGTTTTTTTTTATTTAAACTCCCTTTATAACCGCCATTTTACCGCCATTTTCACCGCCACCTCATACAAAAAAAACAAAAAGACCCTCATGAAAGTTTTGATAGTTTTTATAAGAAGTAAAATTTCAAAAGTTTTTATTATAAAAAAAAAAAATTCACGATAGATAAAACAACCTGAAATTAAAATAATCGTAACTAATAAACGACAAAGGTAACAACAAAAAAAAACGTTTTTTACGTCACGTGTTTGTTGTTTGCTTTTTTTTTGTAATGAAAAAAATTAAAATTATTTATAAAAATAGAATAACATATACACAAAAAAGGGTTCAAACGTATAAAAAAAAAAAAAAAACAATACAGACCAGATAAAATTAAATTGATCAAAAAACAAACAAGGAAACAAACAAACAAACAAACGGAGAAAAAATAGAATAGAATCGTAGAAAAAAAAAAAGAAAAGTAATTTCGGGTTTTTTTTTGTGATTGGAATTTTTAGTTTTTGATTTGTTTCCCTTCATTTTATTTTTTTCTATTTTTTTTTTTTTTTGTTTTTCCAACTTTTTCTTTCTCTCTCTCTTTCTCTCTCTCTCTTTTCCTCTACTTAATCTTATCGTGTTAATAATAATAATAATAATAAAATTTAAAACGACGTAAACGTCGTAATGAATAATATTAATAAAATAAAAAAAAAAATTTTTTTTTCCTTTTCCTTCTCGTTCGATTATCCAAATGCTTCTCTCTCTCTCTCTCTCTAAATAATAATAATAATAATAATTTTGTGTCAAATTTTACGACGTAGAAATTTGATTCTTTCGATAGAGAAAAAAATATAAAAAAAAAAAAACGTCGTATAAGGACGACACAAGTTGAGGAGGAATAACGATGGTAAAAAAAAAAAAGTTCATCGATTTATCGAAGAAAATGAAATGGAAGAGAGAGAGAGAGAGAGATAGATAGAAAAATGAAAGTTGAGAAGATGAATGACAATTTAGCAAATAAATGACGAATAATACTGGAGAAAGAGAAGGGAAAAAAAATAAACTGGAGAGAAAACAAAAAAAAAAGAAAGAAAGAATACGAAACGAGAATATTATTAAAAAGGATGTGACTGTGAATTTTCTTTTTTTTTAAATCTAAAAAACTTACAAGTTATCACGTAATAAATTTATTATCATTATCATCATTATCATTATTATTATACGTCACCCGGAAAGTATTAAAAAAAAAATATATGAAAATTTTTATTGAAAAAAAGGGAAGAGAGGGAGAGAGAGAAAGAAAAAATTAATAAACGATTACGTAAAAATTACGTTAATTAATTAAAAATAAAAATAAAAATAAATTGATGGTAAAAAGGAAGTAAGAAAAGGAAAAAAAGGAAAGGAAAAAAGGTCGTTTATTATCATTATATTGACAATCGCCATTTTGTTTTTTTTTTTAAATAATTAATTCGCATTTAAAAATTAATTAATATAATAATTCTCGATATCAACTTTTTTTTTTCTCTCTCTCTCTCTCTTTTCTTAATTACGATACGAAATTTATAATAAAAATAATAAACAAAGGAAAAAGAGGAAAAGACGAAGAAAAAGAAAAAGAGAACCGGAAATGACGTAATAAATTTAACATTTTTAATAATATTTATAATAAACAATAAAAAAAAGAAACTTTTTTTTATTTATAAAAATAAATACTGAGAAAAAGACAATTTTTTTTTTTATAACAAAGGAAAAACTTTATACTTTTGATATTTATTTACATCATAATAATAATAATAATATCCTTTGACCAAAAACAAAGGAAATAATAAAAAAAGGAAACAATATTTTTGATCGTTTAACCCGAACAAACAAAAAAAAAAAAAAAAAGGAAATTAAATTCTATAAAGTTTTATCGACCGAAACCGAATTTTTATTTATTTTTTGGGGGGGTGGGGGGTAGGAACGAGGACCTCGAGTAAGGCCCCGAGTAAGGGCCCGACTCGAGGCCCTTAGCCGGAGCCCTAGCATGAACGGTTTAAGGAAGTTTATTGATAAAAAAAAATTTATTTTTTCCACGGCTTGAATATGACGCGTTAAACGATTTTTTTTTTAATCGAATAAAAGCAGAAGAAATTTTATTTATTTTATTAATATTATTATTACGTAATGAAATGACGTAAATTACGAGTAATTAAGAGGTAATTAAACGTAAAATATCTAATTACTATCGCGATTTATATTCATAATTGGAAACGAAAACTTTTCCCCGATAAAATACTCGGAGAAAAATTTAAATTATAAACAAAACATATATTTATTATTATTATCATCATCATTTCCGTTTCCGTGAAATTTTTTTTTTTATACGGATTTGAGAAATCGTCGTACCTGTAAAAAATTAATTTTGACATTTTTTTTTTAACACGAAAGAATTTCGCGTGATGTGTGCCTGACATTCGTGTAACGACTTTTTAAATTTAATTAATTTCAATTTTTTTTTTTTTTTTGTAGAAATAAAACGGAAAACTCTAGAAAGAAAAACGGGAAATTTAAAATTAAATTTTCTTTAGATTTTTTTTTTTGGGGGGATATAATAAATTTGGTTTTATTTATTTATTTATCCCAAAAATCTTTACTTAAGAAAACAAATTAAAGACCAAAATAAAAAAAACCGTTAAAAATGACGTCATAACAGAAAAGTATCTGTCATTTTTCACGTAACAGGAAAATTAATGCTGAGTTTACAGTAAATTTTTTTTTTTCATAAAAGGAGGAGGTAAAGAGGGGAGGGAGGGAGGGGGAAGAGGATGACGAGAGAGGGGGAGGAAGTGGGGGAGGGGAAAATCACAGGAAGTTAAAAAAAAAGTTTTTTTTTTTTTTTAAATCTGTTGGGGCAGAGTCATTACAAACTTTTTTTTTTTTTTTCATTTTCCAGTTCGCTAATTGTTCCAGTCGTTTTGTTAAACAATTTACGAGAATTTTTTCAAAGGATAAAAAAAAAAAATGGCGGGAAAACTTTTTCCTTTTCTCTCTCTTTCTCCCAACGGTTTCATCGTTTTAATTTATAAATTTTTTAAAATAAAATTTAAATGTTTTTTTTTTTACTCACAACGTAAAAGTTGTTGAGGTTGGTTGTTGTTGTTGTTGTTGTTTTTGATGTCATCATTTTATCGAATTTTTTTTTTTTTTTTTTTGACACTTTTGAGGTGAAAAACCTTTTTTTCTTTCCTTTTCCGGTTATATTTTCAAACGTAAAAAGTCAAATCAAATAAAAAATTTTCACTTTTTTTTTGAATCTTTTATTGAAAACCTTTTTTTTCTCCAGGAAAATTTTTATTTATCCCTTTAAATAAAAAAAAGGACGACATTTTTAAAAAGTTTTTTTGACAAAAAATGTGCGTGTGTGCGTGCGTGCGCGTTTGTTAATATGTTTTTTAAGGTTGTAAACAAAATTTTTTTTTGACACTCTCGAAAAAATGATTGATTATTTCCGGTTTCCCTCCCCTTTTTTTTTCTTATGTTGGTAGTAAAAAATTTTCTTTCGTTAAACCTTTAAAAGAAAGAAAATTTTCTGATGGGATTTTTTTTCCCCACGTTTGTCGTTCGTTATTTTTATATTTGCGCCATTTTATCATTATTATTATTATTAATTTTTCAGGTAAGGCGGTACCTTTTATTGAAATGATGGTAACTCACGCTTCGGTACTCACCATACTCGCCATAAGTTTCGAAAGATATTATGCCATATGCGAACCATTAAAAGCCGGATACATATGCACGAAAACGCGAGCGTTTTTTATTTGTCTTTGCGCATGGTTGCTCGCCGGTTTACTAACTAGGTATATCAATTATAATAATGATAATGATAATGATAGTAATAATAGTAATAATAATAATAATAATAATAATAATAATGATTAATAAATAACTGCGGTGATTGGATATCAAATGCAAATTTGCTTCTTTTTATTAAATTTTTTTTTTTTTTTTTGGTAACACTAACTCGCTGAAACATAATTCCAATAAATTATATTATTATTATTATTATTATTATTATTATCATTATTATCATCGTCAAATGTCGTCGTTACATCCTAATTAAAATTTAAATTATAATTTGAATTTGAGTTGTTTGAATATATAAAGAAAAGAAAAGAAAGAAAAAATTATGTCGGTTAACCCAAGGAGAAATAAATCGTTAAAAACATTTTAAAATTATTACCCCCCCCGCCCCCTTCCTCCCTTAAATAAATAAAATCATCATCATTATCATTATCACGATTAATTAAAATTTAGTACGTAGAATTTTAATTTATATCAAATCACGTAATATGCGTAATCATGCGTAAAAATTCACATAACGGAAATGTCGGACGGGAGGGGAGGATGCGTGTGGGGTCGGGGGGGTCGCGTAGGGAGATGAAGTGAAGGAAGGGAGGGAGGGGGAAGTGAGGGGTTTAAGGAAAAACCGATTCGATAATCATTTCGAATAAATTTTTTTTTTTTCGATGTGTTTTCCCTCGGATTTAAACTTTTTTTTACATTTCGACCGTTATCACTACGACGTGTTTTATTATCATTATTATTATTATTAACTAAAACCACGTCATTATCACTATCGTTATCAAAAATTGCATTTTGTGATGATTTTTCTCTCTTTTCCTCTCGTTTTTAATAAAAAAATTTGTATGATTACGTATAAAGGTAAGATATAATACATTAATTAAATAACCCTGTCTTAGTTTTTTATTATTATTAAATTATGTTTCAGTTTTTTTTTGTGTTTGTGTTACCAATCACAACAATTTTATGTTTTTTTTTATGTAAACATGTTTGTTTTTAAGTTTATAACATGATCGATTGAAAAAATTAATAATGTTGTTTAATATTTAATTAAATAAAAAAAAAAAAAACAACAAGGAAATTAAAATGTTTAAATTATAATGATAATAATTACGTAATTTATTATTATTATTATTACTATTATTATTATGTTTTAAAACAAATTGACATTTATAAATATTATTGTAATTTATTGTAAAAAAAAAAAGGTTTTAAACCGGAAGCGGAAATCAAAAATTTTTTATAAAAGTTGCATTTCTGATAAATTATCATTATGAGTGTTTATTATTATTATTATTATTATTATTATGAAATTGTTATTGTGTTTGTATTGATTACATCGGTTTGATTTTTTTTTTTGCTTTGTTGCTTTTTAATCTTAAATAAAATCATATGTTTGTTTGTTTGTTTGTTTGTTTGATTGTTTGTTATTGTAAATGGATGTTCTCGATGTTTTATTGAAAATGTTGTTGACTGTAAATAATGTCTGGAGTAGAATAATACGGATGTGGTTTTTCCAGTCCAATGTTGTTCATCTCACAATATGAATTAGCACAATACAACGATGGATCATGGGTACCTGCTTGTTTAACACCAGCCGACACTTTATGGAAAGAACTTTTTTTCTACATGAGCATTTCCGTTTTCTTCTGGGTTCCACTCATTGTACTCGTTGTACTTTATTCAATAATAGCCGTACATTTAATGGCGGATCCAGGATTGAAAGTAATTTTTCTTTTTTTTTTATGTTTCTTTCTGTTTACACGAGATTTTGTATGTTTTTTTTTGTTGTTTTATTATTCAGGGGAGCGAAACATTTTCACACAGAGCAAGAAGTCAACTCATACTCATGTTAGGAACCGTTGTCCTATCATTTTTTCTTTGTTTGATGCCATTTAGAGTTTTTCTACCCTGGTATATATCAGCATCGGCACAAACAATTAAAAATTTAGGAATCGAAAAATATTTTAACATTTTGTATTTTTGTCGAACGATGTCTTACGTTCATTCAGCTATAAATCCTATTTTATATAATTTAATGTCTACAA